AAATACAAAAGAAATACAGAGACATAGACTAATACTGGGAGGGCAATCCAGTGAAAGCTGAATGTGTTCATGTTTCTTTTGGTTATTTTTCTTTGTTTGTTTGTTTGTTTTGTTTTTTTCTTTTTTATTGCTTTATAAATAATACCATTCAAAATTTCCTCCTCCCATTTCCCTCCCACTCCTCCCACTCACCCTTCCCCCGTCCCACTAGTCTTAAGAGAAGGCAGAGTACCCTGCCCTGTGGGAAGTCCAAGGCCCTTCCTCCTCCATCCAGGCCTAGGAAGGTATGCATCCAAACAGACTAGCATCCTAAAAAGCCCGTACATGCAGTAGAATCAAATCCCAGTGCCATTATCATTGGATTCTCAGTCAGCCCCCATTATCAGCCACATTCAGAGAGTCCAGTTTGTTCACATGCTCGTTCAGTCCCAGTCCAGCTGGCCTTGGTGAGCTCCCATTAGATCTGTTACACCTTCTTAGTGGATGGATGGACCCCTCATGGCCCTGACTTCCTTGCTCATGTTCTCCCTCCTTCTGCTCTTCATCTGGATCTTAGGAGCTCAGTCCAGTGCTCCAATGTGGGTCTCTGTCTTTATCTCCATCCATCACCGGATGAAGGTTCTATGGTGGTATTCAAGATATTCATTTGTGTGCCTATGGGACAAGTGTGCCTATGGGACAATTAAGTCTTTGAAGAAAGAAATTGAAGAGGATTCCGGAAAATGGAAGGATCTCCCATGCTCTTGGATTGGTAGGATCCACATAGTAAAAATGACAATTCTACCAAAGGCAATCTGTAGATCCAATGCAATTGCCATCAAAATCCCAACAAAATTTTTCACAGACCTTGAGAGAACAATAATCAACTTTATATGGAAAAACAAAAAACCCAGGATAACCAAAACAATCCAATACAATAAAAGTACTTCCAGAGGCATTACCATCCCTGACTTCAAACTCTATTACAGAGCTACAGTAATGAAAACAGCTTGGTATTGGCATAAAAACAGACATTGACCAATGGAATCAAATTGAAGATCCGGATATTAACCCACAAACCTATGAACACTTGATTTTCGACAAAGGAGCTCAAATTGTACAATGGAAGAAAGAAAGAATCTTTAACAAATGGTGCTGGCATAACTGGATGTCAACCTGTAGAAGAATGAAAATAGATCCATATCTATCACCATGCACAAGTCTCAAGTCCAAATGGATTAAAGACCTCAATAGAATTCTGACCACACTAAACCTGATAGAAGAGATAGTGGGAAGTAGTCTGCAACACATGGGCACAGGAGACCACTTTCTACATATAATCCCAGTACCACAGACAATAAGATCAACAATGAATAAATAGGACCTCCTAAAACTGAGAAGCTTCTGTAAAGCAAAGGACACTGTCATTAAAACAAAAAGGCAACCTACTGACTGGGAGAAGATCTTCACCAACTCCACATCAGACAAAGGCCTGATCTCCAAAATATATAAAGAAACTAGACATTAAAATTCTGAAGAACCCAATAAAAACTGGGGTACTGACCTGAACAGACAATTCTCAACAGAAGTTCGAATGGCCGAAAGATACTTAAGGTCATGCTCAACCTCCTTAGCAATCAGGGAAATGCAAATCAAAACAACTTTGAGATACTATCTTACCCCTGTCAGAATGGCTAAAATCAAAAACACCAATGATAATGTATGCTGGAGAGGATGTGGAGTAAGGGGAACACTCCTCCATTCCTGGTAGGAATGCGAACTTGTTCAAACACTTTGGAAATCAGTGTGGTCATTTCTCAGGAAACTGGGAGTCAACCTACCTCAGGATCCAGCAATTCGCTCTTGGAAATATACCCAAGAGATGCCCAATCAGACTACAAAAGCATTTGTTCAACTATGTTCATAGCAGCACTATTTGTAATAGCCAGAATAATGTTTATTTCTTATGATCTTCAAGTACCCCAAAAGCAAGAAACTTTTTTTTATTTTGATACAAGGAAAAAACAAAGAGATTACCATCTCAATACCCAAAATACCAAATAATAACACCTTTGGTCAAAATATTCTGTTAGTAGCCACACCGTAAGTTAAATCTCCTGTCAATAACCATAAAGGAACAAGGCAAGGCCTGAACTCTGACTTTTAGTCAAAGTGGAACAGATCCACTTTTGTTGCCACCTCAATACCCAGAACACCAAATGACCACACCATAGGACAAGATAGTTTGTTTGTAGTCATTCCTTACATCAAACTTCTTGTCAACAACTTTGAAAGATCAAGAGTATGCTTAAGCTCTTTGATCTTCAAAGGGGAACAGATTCATTTCTGTGGGCCCCCACAAGTTGTGGGCCAAAGGAATTCACCAAAAAAAACTCAGATTCTTGCTAAGACTATAGGTTACTCCTTGCATACTAATAGCAAGGCCCTCTTGCTGAAGACAACACCTACATAACTCATTACACTGGAATAGTTGAGCTAGTGCCTGTAATAGGGTTCTCACCCCATTTTATAGCATCTTTGGTACAGAAAGACTCTCTGCATGCTATCAAAGAGAAATGTAAATACCAAGCCAGCAGAAACATTTTATCACCAATAATATACCTACAAAATATGCTAGAACAATGGTGGCACAAATCTTGTGGGAGTAACCAACTAATTACTGATTTGACTCAAAGCCCACTACAAAGATGATACCTGTTATGGTAAAAATAAAATGCCATATGTCCCTGAGTGGCAGCAGTGGGAAGCTGGTAAGAGACCATGGCGGGCCACAAAGGCAGCCAGTCCTAGGCAGGGAGTCATGTGGTGGGTGAGAGACAGGGAGATAGGCACACGCCATGCAGAGTGAGGTTGGATATTTATTTAGTGGGTTATGGAGGAGAAAGGAAAAGGGAGAAAGGGGAGAAGGGAGAAGAGCAGAGAGAGAGAGAGAGTCAGAGAAAGAAAGAAGAGGAAAGGAGAAAAGTAGGGAGAAGGGAGAGAGGCAGAAGCTGCCTTTTTGGGAGAGAGATGGAAAAGGACTCACAGACTGGAAACAGAAGGAAGATCTGCTTACCTCTGCAGATGGGGCTGACACTGTACGGTATATCAACTTCTCCAGAAGAGGCCTAATGTTCAGGATTCACCAACATACTCTAGAACTTTAAGCTAAAGCTTCTCAGCAGTAATGCTCCCCCCTCCCCTGGGAACCAAGTATCTAACAATTATACATGTATGAACTGAAATGTTGGGAACTTTCCATCACCTCCCTGAGTCCTTGTGAATGTTCTCCAAATAGAACTCAATTATTGAATAGGAGCAAGATAACCCTTAGGTGTTGACTCAGTTCCTGGTGTTTTGACTCAGTCCCTGGGAAAGGGGCAAAGTAACCCTCAAATGTTTCCTCTTACCTCATCTGATCTGGCAATTGCTCTCCAGACAGTTATTGGTAATAGCCCTTTGAATAAGCCAATCATAATAATTAAAACATAACCTCCAAACAGCCCCCTTGTTTCTGTGGATTTTACTTGAAAAATAGCCTGTACCAGTCATTCAGGGTCAATCTGGCTTCTTGAATGCTGAAAGACCCTGTCATGACAGAATTAATAAAATCCCCATGCTTTTTCATCAACTGTGGTGTGAGAGATGGTCTCTTGGGGCTTCTCCTCCTGGTAGTTGGACTTCAGGGTCCAACAATACAATGGATTCCAAGTTTTTTTGTGTGTGTTTCCATTTAATGGTTTGTTTTGTTTTGTTTCTGGTGAGTGTTGTTTTATTTTGTTTTCATGGATTTCAGGTGTTTTGCTATTCTATTTAGTTTTTGTTTTTAGAGAAAAAACTTATAATTGCCTGGGTAGGGAGGATGACAGGATTGGGAAGGACTTGGGGAATGGAAATATATATAAAATATGATTAAAATATATTTACAATTAAAAACTGTTTAAAATAATAAAAATTCAATAAAAAGAAAAATGCAAAGAAGAAAAGACTGTTGGTTATACTGGAAAATGATACTTTTATCTCCCTTTCAAGAATCTGTCCTATAAATATGTAAAATGGTAGATAAGGAAAACAAACTTATAGAAATTTGCATAAGAATTAATAGCGCCTGTCAACTTCATATTTGAGAAAATCAAGTGAGAAATATTAAAGAATGTGTATTCACTTTCTCTCAATGAGTATATACTATGAGCATTGAAGGATTTCCTGTTTGTTAAGAAATGGGGGATGGTGAAAAGAGGTATGGGAAGGAATGTAGAATGAACGAAACAGTAGCATAATTTTGTCCACAGACAATGCTGAGATCAGGTAGAGGTTCTATTCATAAGTAGAAGTTGAGAAAATGGAGAATTCTGTAATGGATGTGGGTATAGAAACTAAATTTGCTTTCACATTGAAAATGTCAAAGCTGCAATGAATCCTAGTGACAGGGACTACTGAAGTGTCCTAGGCACATCATGGATGATGAGAATGTACATTTTCCATGGTTTAATAATTAATACTTAGCTGGGTGTGGTAGCATACACCTTTAATCCCAGGCCTCTGGAGGCAGAGGTAGAAGGATCTTTTTCAGTTCGAGGACAGTCAGGGCTGTCCCAAAGTAAGCAAAACAACCTCCAAAAGAGAATTACTACTTAATTACACAAAAGAGCAGAAGTATGTCTTGTAGAGTATAATTAATTTTATTACATTGATTATATATACCCAAAATATGAAAGAATTAAGAATGATACATGTTTCTTTTTAAGCACCACAATGTTGACAAATAAGCACCAAAAAGAAAAATTTTGACTTCTATGAAAAATCACATAAGTATACATGATGTATACAGGATAGTAACATTTTAGAAACATACTCTTGTTTTGTTTTATACCTTTGAAGTGTTAAAAGAAATGTCACATCATGGAGATATCTGACTTTAATAGTGCATGAAGAAGGTTTTTTTGTTGTTGTTGTTGTTAAAAGCAAGTGAGAAAGCTAGAGGGTTAAGCCTACCCTGCTTTGTTTTTTGTGTTTTGTAGGATATAATGAAAGACGAATGCTCAATGCTGAAGCTGCAACTGAAAGACAGGGATGAGCTAATTTCTCAACTTCAAGCAGAGCTGGTAAGTGTTTGGCTGAAACACTTGGTTACTTACTTTTCAGGGTTGTTTGGTTTAAACCTTAATCTACTGACATCGCTATTATTATTTATAAGTTTGAAAAATAATTTAAATATGACCATATTTTTTTCAATTTTTCGTAATGAAAACTATAGTCCTTTGGTGAATGTGCATATGGTTAGAAATGGTACAATCTTTTAGCCTTGTCTGTAGTCAGAAAGACTAAGGCCACGTTATATTTTGCATTCTGTGTGATTCCCATTCCTACTGAAATGCCTAGAGAGAAACTTTACAGTATAAAGAAGGCATTGATTACTTTTGTTAACCAAACTGATTTTACTTTTATTTTCATGATCACCAAATGGAGCTGTTTCTCAAAGCTTGGTAGAAATTTCAATTAATGTTCAGCTCTCACAAAATGTGAGTGAGGTTAATGAAGGAAATAGGGAATTACATGTTTAGAACATATTAGCACACTTGCTATGTAGAATTGTTGTTTTTCTAGATGTTTCAATTTATATACATTAAAAATAGCAATTTAATGTGATTATCAGTACTCTAAGAAGAAATAAAATCATAGAATTAAAGAATAAGAATTTAAAAGAGAAATGCTAATCATCAAGAGTTTTTAAGATACTATCAAAGTAAATCTAACACACTAGAGGCCCCTGACACTTTGTTATAGTCACAAAGTGAATCCTAGTTTAAAACACTATAAAACGATTTAACAATTGATTATATTAATGTTGGTATATTACGTATATCAACGTTGGTATAGTACAAAACTATAAAGTACAATTCAGTCATATACGAGTTTACAGACAAACATTTGAAGACTACTGTCATACTAGTATGATGTCAAATTCATAGTATAACTTATGGGGTCTAAACAGCTGTCAGTGTTTTTACTGAACCTTGACCCATTTTGAGACTAGAGTTTGACAGTCACAAATCTGTTAGTATGGCTTCAAAACCCTCTAAACTACTACGTAAAAAAGAGGACCATTTCCTGTACTGTAAGAAATATCCCATTATATGAAGATCAGCAGCATATTAATAGTACAGACAGTGTGTACTACATAATGAAAACATTGTGTAGCTCAGTGATGCAACCCTATAATACCATTCCTCATGTTGTGGGGATTCCCCAACCATAAAATTATTTTGTTGCTACTTTATGACTGTAATTTTTCTAATGTTATGAATAATAATATAAGTTTCTGATATGCAATCCCTGTTGGGGTTATGACCCACAGGTTCAAAACTACTGTTCTAGGTCTATATTGTAACCAGGCTTTGTTTATATGCAAGAGAAAACTATTTTTGTATTTAATAAATATCAAGTAGTGTATAGATACCTATTACCAAATAGAACAATCAATCTTAAATAACAGAATATCTGTTCATTCACTTTACCAGGGAGTGTTTATTTTCAAAAATTAACTCAGAAAAAAATATTCATTTTTCTTTTCACCATCAGTTTGGTCAAATTTAAAACATAGAATGAACAAGAAATAGACCTTTCTTTGTTGGGTGAAATGAGAAAGAAAATCATTACTTCCAGAACCAATGCTACAGCTATAATTACAATAATTCAGATTCCTTCTCTCCAAAAGAGGCTTGAATTTACTGAAACCCTAAAATGACATACTTGTAAGTTTTTTAAATTTCCTTTTCTTTAAACTTGAGTTTTCTAAATTGGCAATGTAACTTTGGAATTTTCCAAAGTAATAATCAAGATAACATTTCAGTGTCTGTGCTGCACATTCGAATGTTTTAAAGAAAGAAAGAAGTTACTTTTGCAGTAAAGTGTGTTTTGATAAAGAGAACTTTAAGTTTGGAAGAAGGTGTGATGACTTAAAAAAATGATAAAAAACAAAACAACATTTAACGAATGCATGAGTACACAAGGGCATAGGACTCCACAAATTGTTGTAATCTGTAGAAAACATGGACCAGTATGGTTCTGATGTTGAGAATAAGCAACCGTTTTTATTCCCAGTTTGCATTTGTTTGTTTGAGACATAGTTTCACTCTATATCCCACCATGGCTTAGAACTTACTATATATCCTTGCTGACCTTGAATTCAAGGAGTTCTCCGGCTTTAGTTTCCTAAGACCAGAAACTACTATGTTTATTTGGCTGAGCACAACCATTCAGACTTTTCATTTCTGTAGCAAATATATGACTGGAAAAAAGGTAAAGAAAGAAAGATTTTGGTTCATGGTTTCTGTGTTTTCAGTCCATGCTCAATTTGTTTCATTGCTTTAAGCCTATAATAGGGCAAACCATCATGGATGAAGGAACAATACAACCTTCAGCATTACTCTCTTCCTCCAGGGGCTCTCTTCCTCCACATCAGCCCACCACCCACATTTCCACTGCCTCAAATACTCTTTTCCAATTTTGAACGCATCAATTTATTACATCATTCATTAGATTAGAGCCACTCTGATGTAATCTTTCTCAGAATTATTTTCAAATACACCTAGCAAGGCATTTCACTTATCTCCTACCAATCTCCCAGTCTTATACTATCAATAATAAACTTTAATTGTCACATTCACCTTGATAATTTCACCTGTTGTTAGTAGTTAATTGGTGGTCAGTGAGTGTTGGTACAGAATAAAAAAATGTGAATCCTCTATTCTAGCCATCTTGCTAACAACCATCTTCCCAATCTTCTCAACAGTATTCATTGTTACATTACTGTGACTGGTTGTTCTGTGAGGTTGGGTTTCAATGTCATCTTTCTCTTCCCCAGTGTATATCAGGAGAAGTCTCCATGTGTTACTAGATGTTTGATGTACCTAAAAGCTTGACACATTTGAGAACAATTGCTTTAGAGGTAACATATTACTTTTCAGTCCATCAGTGAAATAGTGTAAGATAAGCATATGCATGTATACAGATAACCAGGGAACTAGAACCCTACAAAAGAGATAGGGCTTTCCTTATATATAAGGAAAGTGTTAGAAAACTAATTTCTCATAGTCCTGTTTGGTTGTGAGTCTGAGATTGGAGTGCCAGCATGGGTGGGTGCCAGTGAAGACTGTCCCTTGTTGATGGATGGCCAACTTCTGACAACATATACAGGGAGGAGGATGAGAAACTCAGTGGTCAGATGGGCGGTGGTGGTGCATGCCTTTGATCCCAATTAATCCATCTCAGGGCCCCTCCCTATGATGTTACCTAATTACAGTCACCTCCTGGTGTCCCGTCTTCCAAGGAGACTTAGTGTGAGTGGGGGAGGACACAGTTCAGACCCGAGCACAAAGGTTGTGCTCCTGCTTATTTACTGTTATCAAATCGCATTTTATCTAGCAAGTTCTGCTAGATATTTCATGAAGTATCTTCTTTCTCCATCTCTGTGATTTCAGAAGTATTACCATAATTTTACACTCCCTGATTCCTGGGTCTGTACACTTTCTAAAGCATGAAGATGCTTCAAAATTCAAAATAATCATTTGATTTTACATTATACACTTGTACTGTTTGAGAAAAGCATTAAATATAATAGTTGGGTCCCCTAATGTGAGTATATTTTCTGTCCGAATTTTCAATTTATTCCTTTCTGTGTAAAAAGGAAGGCAATAAGCAATTAGTTCTCTTAGGAATAATTTCAAAAAGTCTGATATTAACGCCTCTGAAATTTTTCAAGCATTGCTTACTTTTATGAGCTTTATTGGTTTTTGACAGATAAAAGTAATGATTTACACTATTTTATGATGTCCGAGGGAACTTTAAATTGTAAAATATCAGCTTTTACTGAGGTTATATACATCATAGGGCAACTAATTGGCAGGAAAGGAGTAACACACTGCAGCCATGTGTGTTATAGCTGAAAGGAACTGGTTGGCAGTGGGAGCATCTGCTCTCAGTTGTTTCACCCCACAGCAGAGTCATCATGGTCTGCCAGGAGCATACCAAGCTTCAAAGACTGTTATTCATTCAGGCTTCTTACATAACAGTACTCTATGTTGACTGTGAGAATAGGTGACTTCCAAGAGGAAGATCTTGTCTCCATATCTCTCTGTCTCTTTCCTACTGGCATTCTTGTCCTCTCCAAGATGTCCATGCCTTCTCATATCCATCCCCACCCTCTCTCTCTGCAAAAGTCATATGCACATACTCAGGGAAGGCAGTCATCTACAAACCAGGGAGTGGCACTTTTAAAAGCCCGACTGCTATCTAGTGATCTTGGGTCACAATGTTCAGAACTACAGATGACTAAAATTCTGTTTTTAAGCCACTCAGACTGTGTTGATTTTGTCATGGGAGCCTGAGCAAACTCATACAATACCTGTATGACTATGGAATTTGTTTGATCATGGTCCATGTAGATGGATTTATATTTTTTCCCATGACTTAGCTAGGTCTTTTTATTATTTTTCTTTGAAATGCTGAACAGTATTCAGAAATTGTATTCAATCCATTCAACTTCTCCTTCAAGTTATATATATACTGTTGTTGTTTTAAATCCAGAACTCTTGTTTTCATAGTTTGCCTCCTGAATATGTTCTTCTAATCTGTTTGTTTTCTAGCAAGGTTAAGTTTTCATTCTTGATGTATTTCTTTTATCATTGTCCTTAGCCACCAGTTTGGTCTTCAGTAAAAACCATATGTTAGTGGTCTAGTGATTATTCAAACTTCAATATCATGTTTTAAGCATAGAGGAAACATTAAACCCTTAGCTATATGTAGTTAAATGTTTTTTTTTAATTTATTTATTTGACTACTATTGTGTTGTTTTGTCATCCAAGACATCTGTTGTGCATGAAGTCCTTGTGTTTAACTTGTTTTTCCTAGGGTCATTAGTGTTCTTGGGATCCACTATCTATCGTCTGTTTGTATGTGAGACTTAGTCTTCTTATATAGCCCAGGCTTTTCAGACATTTGCTGTGCAGCCTCGGGTAGATTTGAATTCATGATTTTTGTCTGACTTGACATTCCACATGCTGGTCTTGTACAAAGTACTACTGTACCCTATCCCTGGTGTCCC